CAGATTGAAAGTGAGGGGATGGTGGGGGACTTGAATGGTTCAATCAGCTAAGCATCCGACTCTTGATTTCAGATCAGGTCATGATCTCCTGGTCATGGGATTGAGCCTCATGTCAGGCTCCATACAGAGCATGCAGCCTGCTTGGGATTCTCTCTCTCCCTCTCTCTGCTCTTCCCTCTTCTCTCTCTCAAAAATAAATAAATAAACTTAAAAAAAAAAAGTAAGTGAGGGTACGGAAAAACATTACCATGCAAACAGATGTCAAAAAAAAGCTGGAGTAGCAATACTTATATCGGACAAACTACACTTTAAAACAAAGACTGTAACAAGAGACAAAGAAGGGTATTATATCATAATAAAGGGGACAATCCAACAAGAAGATATAACAATTGTAAATATTTATGCACCAAACATGAAAGCACCCAAATACATAAATGTCAATAGCAAACATACAAGAACTAATTGATAAGAATACAATAATAGTAGGAAACTTTAATACCCCACACACCAATGGACAGATCATCTAAACAGAAAATCAACAAGGAGACAATGGCTTTGAATGACACACTGGACCTGATGGACTTAACAAATATATTCAGAACATTTCATCCCAAAACAGCAGAATACACATTCTTTTCAAATGCACTTGGGAAATTCTCCAGGATAGATTACAGATTAGGCCACAAATTAGGTCTTAACAAATACAAAAAGACTGGAATCATACCATCCATCTTTTCTGATCACAATGGTATGAAACTAGAAGTGAACCACAAGAAAAAATTTGGAAAGACCACAAACAACATGGAGGTTAAACATGCTACTAAACAATGAATGAGTCAAACAGGAAATCAAAGAACTACAAAAAGTTCATGGAAACAAATGAAAATGAAAACACCAGGGTCTAAAACATTTGGGATGCAGAAAAAGTGGTCCTAAGAGGGACATATATAGCAATACAGGCTTACCTTAACAGGCAAGCAAAATCTGAAATATACAACCTAACATTACACCTAAAGGAGTCATTAACAGAACAACAAATAAAGCCTAAATCCAGCAGAAGGAGGGAAATAATAAAGATTGTAGCAGAAATAAATAATACAGAAACTAAAACAAAACAAAACAAACAAAAAATAATAGAACAGGTCAATGAAACCAGGAGCTGGTTCTTTGGAAACATTAGCAGAATCTATAAACCTCTAGCCAGACTTACCAAGAAGAAAAGAGAAAGGACTTCAAAATAAAATCATAAATGAGAGAAGAGAAATAATAACACCACAGAAACACAAGTATAAAAGAATATTATCAAAAACCATATGTCAACAAATTGGACAACCTGGAAGAAATGGATAAATTCCTAGAAACACATAAACTGCCAAAGCTGAAACAGGAAGAAACAGAAAACCTGAACAGACCGATTACCAGCAAAGAAATTAAATCAGTAATCAAAAAACTCCCAATAAACAGAAGTCCAGGACCAGATGGCTTCACATATGAATTTTACCAATCATTTAAAGAAGAGTTAGTGCCTATTCTTCTCAAACTATTCCAAAAAATAGAAAAGGGAAACTTCCAAATTCATTCTGATGAATGAATTACCCTGATATCAAAACCAGATAAATTCTTCATTAAAAAAGAGAACTGAAGGCCAATATGCCCGATGAACATGGATGCAAAAAATCTCAATAAAATACTAACAAACAGAATCCAACAATACATTAAAAAAATCATTTACCACAATAAAGTAAGATTTATTCCTGGGTTTCAAGAGTGGTTCAATATTCACAAATCAATCAAGGTGATACACCACATTATTAAAAGAAAGGATAGGAACCATACAATCATTTCAATACATACAGAAACAGCATTTGACAAAGTACAACACCCACTGATGATAAAAACCCTCAACAAGGTAGGTTTAGAGGGAACATACCTGAACATAATAAAGGCCATATATGAAAACCCACAGCTAGAATCATCCTCAATGTGGAAAAACTGAGAGCCTTTCCCTTAAGGTCAGGAACAAGACAAGGATGTCCACTCTCACCGCTTTTATTCAACATAGTACTGCAAGTTCTGGCCACAGCAATTAGACAACAAAAAGAAACAAAAGGCATCCAAATCAGCAAGGAAAAAGTAAAACTTTCACTATAAGCAGATGACATGATACTCTATATAGAAATCTGAAGGCTCCACAAAGAAACCACTAGAACTGATACATGAATTCAGTAAAGTTGCAGGATATAAAATCAGTGTATAGTCATGTGTTGCATTTCTATACACCAATAATGAAGCAGCAGAAAAAGAAATCAAGGAATCAATGCCACTTACAACTCTACCAAAAATGAAAAGATACTCAGGAATAAACCTAACCAGAAGTGAAAGTACTCTGTAAACCATAAAACACTGATGACACAAAGAAATGAGAAGACATTCCATGCTCATGGATTGGAAGCATACATATTGCTAAAATGTCAATACTACTCAAAGCAATCTACACATTTAATGCAATCCCTATCAAAACACCAACAGTACTTTTCCCAGCAATAGAAGAATCCTAAAATTTATATGGAACCACAAGAGACCACAAATAGCCAAAGCCACCTTGAAATAGAAAAGCAAAACTAGGGGCACCTGAGTGGCTCAGTTGGTTAAGTGTCCGACTCTTCATTTTAACTCAGGTTATGTTCTCACAGTCATGGGATTAACCCCGCATCAGGCTCTGTGCAGAGCATGTAGCCTGCTTGGGATTCATTCTCTCTCTCTTTCTCTCTCTCTCCCCACCTCCTGCATATCGCCTGCTCACATGCTCACATGCTCATTCTCTCTTTACAAAAAAAAGAAAGAAAAAGCTGGACATATCCCAATTCCAGATTTCAAATTATATTTCGAAGCTATAATAATCAAAACAGTATGGTAGTGGCATAAAAAGAGACACACAGATTAATGAAACAGAGTAGAAAACCCAGAAATGAGCACAAAACTATATGGTCAATTAATCTTCAACACAGCAGTAAAGAATATCCAATAGAAAAAAGATAGTCTCTTCAACAAATGATGCTGAGCAACTGTACAGCAGCATGCAAAAGAATGAAACTGGACCACTTTCTTACCCCATGCACAAAAAGAAATTCAAAATGGATTAAAGACCTCAATGTGAGACCTGAAACAATAAAAATCCTAGAGGAGAACACAGGGAGTAACCTCTTTGACACTGGCTGCAGCAACTTCTTTCTTGCATGGGCTAGGGAAACAAAAGCAAAGATAAACTTTTGGGACTTCATCAGAACAAAAAGCTTCTGAACAACAAATGAAACAATCAACAAAACTAAAGGCAACCCATGGAATGGGAGAAGATATCTGCAAATGATATATCCAGTAAGGGGTTAATATTTCAAATATATAAAGAACCTACAAAATACCCCTCAAAAAGAATAATCCAATTAAAACATGGGCATAAGACATGAGTAGACATTTTTCCAAAGACATCAGATGGCCAACAGACACATGAAAAGATGTTCAACATCACTCATCACCAGGGAAATACAAATCAAAACTACAATGAGATATCACACAGATGTCAGAATGGCTTAAAATCGAAAACATAGGAAACAATAGGTGTTGGTGAGGATGTTCAGAAAGGAGAACCTCTTGCACTGTTGGTGGGAATGCAAACTGGTGCAGCCATTCTGGAAAACAGTATGAAGGTTCTTGAAAAAATTAAAAACAGAACTATCCTATGATTCAGCAATTGCCCTACTAGATATTTACCCAAAGAATACTAAAATACTAATTCAAAGGAAAATATGCACCCCCATGTTTATAGCAGCATTATCTACAATAGCCAAATTATGAAAACAGCCCAAGTGTCCATCAACTGATAAATGGATAAAGAAGTTGTGGTATAGATATACAATGGAATATTACTGGGCTATAAAAAGGAATGAAATCTTGCCATTTGCAACAACATGGATGACACTAGAGAGTATTATACTAACAGAAATAAATCAGTCACAGGAAGACAAATACCATATGATTTCAGACAAATACCATATGATTTCATTCATATGTGGAATTTAAGAAACAAACGAGGGGGGAAAAAGTGAGAGAGAGGTAAACCAAGAACACAGGGTCTAAACTACAGAGAACAAATTGATGGTTACTAGAAGAGAAGTGGGTGGGGAAATGGTTTAAACAGGTGATGGGGATTAAGGAGTGCACTTGTGATGAACACTTGTGTGTGGAATGGTTGAATCACTATATTGTACACCTGAAACTAGTATTACACTGTATGTTAACTAACTGGAATTTAAACAACTTGGGAGTGGGGGAAAGAGAAAGAATAGATTCCATATACTCTTGGCTTGGTAATGGTTCCAATGGTAATATTTTGCAAAACAAGTACAATATCGTACTCTCTTCCCTACCCTCTATGTGGTATATGTGTATGTGTACATAAAGACATGTACATATGTGCATAGACAGGCATACTCATAAACTTATTTATATGGACAGAAGCATAAACATCAAAACGTTCAAGAAAACCTCCCAATGTGCTTTCAGGATTGAAAACTACTGGCTTTGAGATTTTCTGGTATTTTTGCATTGTTTCTGAAACTTTAAGAAATAACCATTACAAAAGAATATTATAAAATTAGCATTATTTTTTCTCTTTCTATGCTATCATGTTAAAAAATATATATCTCTGAATACAGGCAATTAAGTTAGGAAAAAATCCAATACTTTTTTCCTTTTTTATTTCATTATTTTATTTTATTCATATATTCTAACTGGCTCAAGATATTTATATGCCTTATTGATTAAAAAAAATCTCATTTCCATATCATCTCATTGCATGCTATTTCATAATACACTCAAGAGCCATCTACAAACAGTATAAATTAATTCCTCAGCATTTCAAGTTACTTAGGATTTTCATTTGATGATAACTTTCTAGATACATCAAGCTTGAGTACAGTTTTCAGCGCTTTAGACCTACTTACTTTGTCTGCAGCTGCCAACAAGTTGTCAGCCATTTTATCAAGGTTTGGTGCTTTCCCTGTGTAAATGAATCTCATCATTTCTTTAAAAACCTCAGGGTCTACATCATTTATTTCCACTCGATTCTGATATTGAAAACAACACAAAAGTTATACTCAAACAACACACACACACACACACAAATGAACCTAAGAGAAACTTTGACAATAATTTAACTAAATTTGCACTCAAAGACTCTATTTTAAAATGGAGGTAAGTAAATCTTCAGTAACCTAAGCAGGCAAAGTGAAGCAAGCAGGTTAACAGAAGTATACCGAGTCAAGCACTACCATGTGGGTATATAAAACTTCAATATCTCAATTAAAAAGGGTAAAACAACAAACCAACAAAAAGAAAACCAAATTAAGGTCTTTAGGCCAAACAAAATACGTATGTTCAATTTCTAACCTGTATCTTAGAAGAAGATACCTATTAACTTTTTCTTTGTTGAATTCTGAGGTCGTAGTACAATGCCTAAGACTCTGTAACCAGTGGGTTTCAGCAAAAGTAGGGTCAGGTATTTGAGATACTTCCAGAGCCCACTACCTCGGAACTCTCCCTTTGGCAAAAATGGCATGTCATACTATCTATACACTGGCATTACCTCTTTGCTTGAAACATACTCCAGTCCAAAGAGTAGTAATTCCTTTTTTATTCCTACATCTTTGTATTTGGTTTCTCTCATGGGATCAATGAAGCTAAATATCTAACACTAAACAATACCAAATTTTTCTGACCCTTTGCTGACAATAACATTTGAAATTATTCATGTCTCCTTATGTGAAAGTGGTCAGAAGGCTAATCATAGTACTGGTTGACCAACAATCAAAGGAACGAAAGCAGCTATGTATTTCAGCCTTTAGTTCTACAGAAAGAATGAAGTTGAGCCACATAAATAAATTTTGGAGTTGTCCCGTTAGAGCATGAAGGCTCACATGTAATGCAATCAGCAAAGAATCAATCTCTGATCTTTAATCTGACTACATTTCAAGATGACAGGTGACAGAGAAACATTTGGGAAAACCAAAGAGGTAACATACTGATTAAATATATAATAACACTACTGTGATTTGTCTTTTTTTTTTTTAAATCTTTCTTATTTTAGTGGCATTATTTTTGTTCTAGAAAAAAAAAATTCCAAAATCAATGTATAATTTAGAAAAGAGGAATAAACACCTTAAGTAGAGAGATCTCAAATAGCTATGGACCAGAACCACCCTTTTGGATAAAAACTACTCATTTATTTTGCCACTAGATGGACATCAAAATAGTTATTATTTGGAATATTCACCCACATTAGGCTATATCTATTGTTCTACTACAGAACATACTTTTTCCCTTTCTACTTCTATTTCTGAAATTTTAGTGTAACAATAAAACCATGCACAATTACTTTCAAAATATACATTCCACTATTCTATATTTGTACAAATTAAATATTAGCCTTTAAATGATGTTTACCTTTTTGCTTTCTTCCATTTCATGTTCAAACATTGCATTAAAAACTGGGGATCGAGCTGTAACAACATTAAGCGTCATTATTTAATATACAGATTTATGGAAGAAATGTACAATATTACCCAAAAGTTGTAAGTACCTGCAAGTACAGATTTATGAGCCTTAAATTCTTGTCCTCTCACAAAAAAACTGCAATCTGTAAATCTTGTGTTTTCCCAGAGATTACCTAAATCTTCTGCTAGTCGACATTCAGGCACCTTCAAAGTATTTGTATTAGTATGTCCTGATATATTTACTGAATCTTGGACCACACTCACCTAATAAAAAATGGACAGCAAGAAAAACACTTTTATAAATTAGTAGCAGTAATTAGTAAGTCTATACTTAAATTTCTTATCATTAGAATTATTGGGATAATTCAAAATACTGATTAAAAACACTAATTCTTGGGAATTAAACTTAAGGATATAATTTAAAGAACATAGAAAAAAAATAGAAACAAATTTGATCATTTTCAAGTAACATTTCATGTAAATAAATGGCTTACCGATTGGTTAGAATGCTTGGTTATTAAAGTAATTAAAAAAACTCCTCAGCAAAAGTCATAAAATGATATCAAATTGAAACAAGCAGGAGACATTTTTGTGAGGTGAAGCAAGAAATTTCTTTAATTTTTATTTTCTCACTTACACCACAGTCCTATCAACATTTAAAGTCTATTACATATGTAATAAACATGCATCACACTCACAAGGACTTTTTATAGTAGTAAAAAAGGTTATAAAACTATAGTCTATGATATTCAATTTGGGAAGTATTTTAAGTGTAGTTCCTACATGTTTCGACTCCAGTAAAATTGATTTAAATATTTAGTAATATTAATTTAAGTTGTAAAGTACAAGAATTCCCACAAAAGCAATCGCACTTATTAAAATTCATGTAAATCTTTTATAATAATAATCAACAGTACAAATACAATTTAGTTCTATTTGCAGACCTTCTATTTATCTATGAAATAATAAAATTAGTATGATGAAAACACTGGTTTTATAAAGATTTCAATATAACATAGATTAAATTTTCTCTCATTAGAAAAGACTATACACTGAATAAAATCCTAAAACACTACTGGTGAAGTCTTGTGCATCACTTTTAAGAAAACGTATGGTACTGGGAGCCTGGCTGGCTCAGTCAGAGGAGCACATGACTCTTGATCTCAGGGTTGTGAGTTCGAGCCCCATGTTGGGTGTTGAGATTACTTAAATAAATAAAACTTTAAAAAAGTATGCTACTAATATTAGAAATTTAATGTTACATTTAATAAACAAGAAAATACTACTCAACTAGTAATGCAAATATTTCAGAGTAAATGAACCATTACTGTTATATGTTAGTTATCTACTGTTTTAAGCTTCTAAGTTTTGCTGTCATTTGTTATGCAGCAAACTATATTAATTGAAAAACATTTCATAAGGCTTTTATTAAATAATGATAGGCATAAATAAGGACACATACCAATAAAGTAAACTACATAGAAAATGTAAATTGGAAATGGATAAACTAGACCAAACTACTAACATGCTAATAACACAGCATAATAATAGTCCAATAAACTATTTAGAGAATATTAAATCTCAGAAGTGCTCCTTCACCCTGATGTATCAAATGGGAATGAATGGATACTTCTAAAGAAAAACTTTATTTTTCTGAGGATATTTTTATTAACCACTTTGTTTTTTTCCAACTGGCATTATTAACCATTTGGAATCATACATATAGAAATCATCTAATCCAATCAACTTATTTTATAAAAAGATTTCAAAGGGAGATCAAAGAAGGTAACTAATGCGTCAATCACACATTCATTCAATACCAAAGGAAGGCTAGACGTGTAATTATCAGATTCCTTTTTTTTTTTTTTTTAATTCTTGGCACTACACAAATATTTCTTTGGATACATTTTAAAATCAGTAGTACTACTTTGATGCAGTTATGGCTCAAAAAGGATCTATTACAACAATCTTGTCAGATGATTTTCTAAATATAGGAACCAAGATATTGTATAAACAAATAAATAAAATCCAGTAATAAAGGTTCTCTATTCTATTAAGTTTTTAATTATTGAAACTGTTTCTAAAATGACTACACATAGGAAAAAAAGCTTCACTAATCCTTACCTGATTGCTCTTTTACACCATCCACTATAACTTAATGATACTTTAAAAATGTTGGTGTTGATAATTGAAGGTTTAGTTAGAGATCAGTTTTTTATCACATAGACAGTATTTCTTTGTTCCTATCAAGCACTACTCTTAAAAATTTGTAAGACAGAAGGAAGTGGATCAGTTCAATTATGTGCATAAAATATGCAGTGGATTTATAAAAATGTTACAACATATTTAATTTAGGAAAGAATTTCTTAAATTCTATTTATTGCCTATTATCCTAACTCAAAAGAATATATTTAATGTAAAAATCTTACAAATATAAAGTGACAGAAGAAATAAAATGATCAATAATTACAGCCATTTTTATCAGGCATAGACACTGATGTTTTATTTTTATTTTGCATATGTAATCATAATTCAGAAGTTATATTATTGACATACACATCTACATAGCATTATTATGCGTACCACAAATTTAAACTAAGAATTAACATTTCTTACGGTAAGGGGTATTCAAGGGACTATTTATATGGCAAATTTAATGACCTAATTAAAAACTGATACAGAACAAATTCTAATGATTATTTTCTTGATGCCTATAATTAAGAAATTGGTAAAATTTTAGCTTTTTTTCTAGCACATGTTCAAAAACAGGTAATGAACATTCTTACTGCATGGAACCTAGAGTAAAAAATTCAGAAAAAAGTCTGAGATTCTTTCCTACAGTTAAGTGCTGTTCTTTCAAAATAAAAATGCGAAGGTATAATATTCAAAATTGACAAATACTGCAAAGGAAACACTCATTTGAAAGCTCTTTTTAAAATCTGGTTTCAGCTAAACTGTGAGAATATAATTCACACTAAAGATAAACATGTGCAAACTCTAATCAAACATGACTGCCCTGAAAATCTGGGTCTCCAATAGTGTGGAATAGAGGTGACTATTACTTCTAGTTTGAAAAAATCTCAATTCTCCAAACTAGTTTTAAAACTAGGAATTTACAATAGTTCACAGTGTATAAATTTTGCCACTCTAATCAACTACCTAACCATTCCTCACACTGGCTTCACAGTGAGAAACTTTTCAATAGTCCAATTTCATATCATCTACTAAAATAGTGGGTCTTAGACTTTTTGACTGTCATAGATAGGCATCCTTTTTAAAAATCTGGGTGACAGAAATAGGGTTGTCAACTTTTCATTTTGCCTTAAAAGGGCTTTTTTAAAGAATGAAACCTAACTTCCATCCATTATCACAAGTATTTTAAAACACAAATGATATCTTGGCAACAAAAAACAGGATGAGAAAAAAGGTGTGTCCTTCTAAATGAATTAACTTTATGAAAAACTCAATTTATATGCACATTCTAACTGTACATGTATAATTTTCTGCAATCAAGAGATGGTATGAGTCTATATGAGATTATTTAAAATCTGTTGGACTTAAAAAAAATGAACTAATCTAAAGTTTTCTATTTCTCATACTTATTCCTCGATTCCTGTCTTCTCCATCACTTTGGGAGAGTATGGGCAGAGCTGTTTACACTACTAGAAATATCTACTCTGGCTACTTGATTTGCAATATGGAACTTGCAAGATGAGGTTATTTCTTGCAGGAAAAGGGTAGCACCAAACTGCCTTACCTGTCTACAGCACCACTTGCAGGGGAGGGGGAGGAGGCAGTTCTTTAGGTAGGGCAGTGCAATGCTTCCTCCTCTTCTGCAAGCAGTGCTGGAGGTGCTGTAGAAGGAAGGGCATCAATGAGAGGTATGGAAGAAACGGTGGAGCACATGAGGAATGTTCGTGCAAAGTACTTTTTGCCCACCGATGCTAAATACAGTGCCCAGGGTATAAGTCTCCACATCAGTAAAAAAATATCTATTACAGTCTCCAAAACTGAATACGATCAATGCCAACTTAAAATGTAAGGCATGGAAGGTTATGTTTTTTGAAGTTACTAGCATGTGGATAAAAAATATACTTCAAAAGTTATGTATTGAAAAAAGATCTTAATTTCAGCCTTCATTCTGAATTTCTTGTTGACTAGGTTCCAATATAATATACTTAAAATATCTGTAAACATAATTTCAATTCTAAAAAAAAGGAATATTTTCTTAAAGAGTTTATTTACATAAGATTTAACTGCAGTAAATTTTTGAAATTGGATTGCATAGCTTTTTTTAAGGTCCTTTAAATTAAAAGATTGTACAATTTAAAAAATTAACATGTTGGAATTTAAGATAACTCCTAAAATTCTGAAGAGTCTATATTAAGGATGCTAAAATTTTTAAATAATATAATCTGTATTTGTTTAAGATACTACTCTGAATATATGTCTATTGGCAACAAATGCTTTATAGTATTTGTTTTTCAAATTATTTAATGATAAATTCTGCTGAAGACACTTGTGGTATGTGCTTTACCAACCAAATAATTATATTCATAACAAATTTATCCTACAGTTCGTTTAACTTGTCTAAGTGAAAATAAGATGCACTATATTTGCATTATGTAGTCTCTAGAGCCACATTTCAATTATTTTTCTGACACAGCATAATAACATAAAATTAGTTTATAATGGTGCCATGAAATTTTATACATTTTCTACAAAGAAATTAAAGCTAACTTAATAGCAGTTAAGTAACTTATCATGCTTCTAATACATTCATTGATCTAAAATAACTTATTAACATATATCTAACATTGAGTTTACTTGATCATAACCTTTCAATTAAGTTTTCCTATGAAAATTATCAACTACCTTAAACATTTTGATAAACTATGTTACTGATGTATATTCTCTATAAACTGTATTGGTAGATAATATAATCCTTGAAGTCACTCCAAAGAATAATCTCAACAATTTGTACAGACAAGAGCAAATTCCAGCCTCAAATTAAAACAAATCATTACTGTAAATTATTGGCAGGGCTATGTTCATAACTGTTAAAATATGACATTTTATGAAAATAAATAAATCTCACAAGTTTGTCAACAGACATGGGTATATCTTAAAAATTTGGGATGCTATTGCTTATAATGCCAACATCTATTTAATTAAACAAACCCAACTGTATAAATATCAAGCTTCTCAATCTTTTCAGGCACTTTCATTATGTATGGATGTACATATTTCAGTCTGTATTCAAACTGATAAGCTACTAATCATGTTTAATATGGTCAACCTGAATATGACAAAAAATAGTGATTACCTATTTCAGAATGAAAAAGATACTTAGAAATTTTCATATAAAGATATACATATCCATAGTCTTTCTAGAAGGAAGAAGTACTTACTATGTGGTAGTATAACTACCATATATAATTTATAGCTGTAGACATGACAGATTCTTTTCAGAATGGGCTACTTACTATATTGAAGACAATCTAGTCTTACTGGTAAAACATCTACAAATGAAACCTTATCAATTATACTGATTACTGAATTTTAAAAGTATTCGCAATAAAAAAAAGTATGCCAATATTGTTCTAGCTTATATTTTTGCTTTATCATTAAATATAACTTTGGAGTTCCTTGAAATAAAAAACGTACCCACCTCACAAAATAATGTAAGCTTGTCATCTGGTAAAAGACCATTAGCTTCATCAAGCAAAAAATCCCTTCGAATGAATTTTTTAAAACCCCAGTCTTTCCCTTGTACAAATCGATATGCTCTTTGGCTTTCTGGTGGAAAACAGAACAGAAGTTTAAACAAAAGAATCATCTAAGAATGTTAATGACAACACAGTTAAATGAATGTACAAAAATAAAACTTGGCCAATACATTCATTATAAAAATTATAGATATGTGTGTTCATAAAATGTCACAAGATTTACATCAGGTAGGACCAGATTGGTTCACAGCACTACTCAGATTTTGGCCATTATCAGTGAGCTCACTTTCAGATTCCTCGATCTCTAAGCAGAAGAAAAGGAGATCAAATCTCTTGGAGAAGGAAGAGATCTCTCTAACAATACAGGCTCTTTAATGATGAAAAAGGATCAAAATACATTGGCATAGTCATACTCCTCCTCAGAACCTGATAAGAAAACATAGCTCTCATTTCTTGTTTCTCCCTTTAAAAATGGGTGCTCTAAATCACAACAGCATCCTTTAACTTTCCCGGGGCATCTATCCCACCAGAGAAAAATCCATTAACTGGTAAAAAGAAGCTAAATAAAGTCTCTTATCACCCTAGATCTTTGGACATAATCTCTTCATCCCTAAAAACAACTTTCATAAAAGTCTAAAAGATGGTTTTAGTATAATCTGTAAATGCCTTAATAATGTTGGAGGTAAATTTTTCAAATGTCTAACATACTGGAGAACTGTATATTAAAAAATAAACAAGATCCTCTACAGAAAGTATTCACAATCTGTTATACAAAGAATTAACTGGAGGTGAAAAACCAAAAATAAATTTAATTGAAAGACTCCATGTTACGGGCTGAATGTTTGTTTGTATCTCCTCAAAATTCTTATATTGAAATCCTATCCCCCAATGTGATGGTATTAAGAGGTCAGTGAGGGGCGCCTGGGTGGCTCAGTTTGTTGAGCATTTGACTTCAGCTCACGTCATGATCTCACCAGTGAGCTGGAGCCTGCTTCAGATTCTGTGTCTCCCTCTCTCGCTACCCCTCCCCTGCTCACGCTCTCTCTCTCTTCCTCAAAAATAAACATTTAAAACAATTAAAGAAAAAAAAAAAAGAGACTGGAATTAGAGGAGTTCATAAAGGTGGAGCCCTTATGAATGTGATTAGTGCTTTATAAAAGACACTCCACAAAGCTCCCTAGCTCAATCCGCCATGTGAAGATGCAGCGAGAGAAATCAGTAGTCTACAATCCAGAAGAGGGCCTTCACCAAAACCTGGCCATGCTGGTACTTTGATCTTGTACACTCAGCCTTCATAAGCCAGCCAATCTATAGCACTTTGTTACAGCAACCTAAACTAAGACACTCCACTACTGTAAATGTCAGACACCATGAAAATATATGTGAAACTATGTTATTATTTCGGCAAAAGATAATTTTTAAAAGTGTATTTTAAAAGTTTTTTTTTTTTGTAATGACATTACTTGATTCTGTGATTCATTTCTAGAAATCACTTAAAATTTAATGTGGCAGTTCATGATATATTTTCCTACTATGCACATTGTGTATTTCCTACATTGCTCTTCTTTATGAAGCTCCAGACCACATGGTTTCAGTTGGCTATATATGTGAAGCTTGAGATGAATTAAATAGATCTGGAGACTAAGAAAAACTGATTTCCTTTCGGTCAGTGTTTAGTCCACTGCTTAAAAAAATTCTAGTGACAAAAATCAGAACATTCAATCTCCTTTCACACTGTTCCTCAGATTTTATTATCTGGTAAAAACAGCAAGGGAGAAATATTTCCTGAGCACCGATTATATTTGCCAGAAATTGAACCAGGCACCTTGCTCTAAAAGCAACAATTTTTCTAAGTGACAAGTAAATACCGTTTTAGGACAAGAAAAAGTAAAATTTTAATATTATTTTTAACAAACTGTACATGTCTTATGAAGTCTAAGATTTAGTAAAACAACCATAACTACACTGGCATTTAAAATTAAATGGCCACATTACGTATTTGAGGTTAAGCAGATTTCAGTGGGGAAAAAATATCCTTTCCAGGGAAAAGTATGTAAGTTAACATGTAGTTACTCAGAGACTTCTTTATCCCAAATCACTTACCCATTGCTTTTGTTTCTTCCCTTTTAGCGTTTAGAAGGGAAAATTTGAATTTTGCTCGAACTTCACTTTTTGGGCAGCTGACTAAAAGCAAATATAAGGACAAGTAGTCTTTACTTTCATCATCTAATCCCTTTGGGTTTACCCTCAGGCACCTAAAACAAAACAATAGGCTCATATGGAGGAATATAAAACGTAAAACTCAAAAGAGAGAGGCAATACTGAAATTCGTTGTCAGATAATATCACAAACAACACTCCCATCAATATCCCCAGTTCTTTGTAATTCTCTATACTTTTAGGAACTTACAAATCTAGTATAAAATTAGACTAATGTCCATGAAGAAACAATAACAGAGGCGCCTGGGTGGACCAGTCGGTTAAGCATCCGACTTCAGCTCAGGTCATGTTCCTGGGTTTGAGATGCACGTTGGGCTCTGTGCTGACAGCTCAGAGCCTGGAGCCTGCTTCTGATTCTGTGTCTCCCTCTCTCTCTCTGCTCCTCCCCTGCTTACACTCTGTCTCTTTCTCTCTCAAAAACAAACATTAAAAAAAACAAAAACAAAAACCAGTAACAACCAAACTATAAAGTAGATGAAAATAATATCAAAACAAAATTCAAAACAAAAATCTTACCATTTCATTTTGTCACTGGGGCTAGATGAGAATGTTGAACTTTTTAACACTTCACCCATTTCCTCTCGACAAAAGCTGAAGTTATTAATGGTCCACATGTAGGAAAATTTTACTACTTTAACCTAAGAGATTCAGAAAACTACTTTTACAATGATGACTTATATGCTTTTAGCTTATCACATGTTAAACATCCCATGACTCACTTTTCTTAATACTTGGAATAACTATGACAAAGTGCTTTACAATATTCTCAAAATGCTATAACATTTTTAAGTGACATAACATAAAGTAAGGCATTTTTAACAGCATGTACCTGTGTATAACACCAGCTTTCTGCTATAGGACCAGTAGACATATCTCCAGGGAGAGGTGGGGTAGGTTCCCGGGACATTGCCACTTTATTGCAGTCTTCCAAGATTTATGCAATATCCCACACAGATGAATACTTTACTACAAAGAAAAGAAGTTTCATTGCTGATGAAAAAGTTTGGATCAAGATAGTACTTCAACAATCATAAAACAATTACTTTCTCAAATTTGATTATAAGGGAACATGCAAGGATTTCATTATTTCAATAATTAAAAAAAATCATAACCCTTTGGGACATATAACACTTAAAATCTAAACAAACAGAATGCTTATAGATAAGACATTATTTTATAAAGGTATATTTATCAAAATACCACAAATCAATAAATAACCTACATATACACATAAAATCACAATAACATGGAAGCTTACCGGCAACAATTACAATTTAGCCTTGAATGAGGCAGGGGTTAGACCTCCAAGCAGTCTAAAATCCACCTATATGACTCCCCAAAACTTACTCATGGCCTAATGTTTACCAGAACACTTACCAATAACATGTTGATTAACACATATTTTGTATATGTGTTATATGCTGTATTCTTCTAATAAATTAAGCCAGAGAAAATGTTATTAAGAAAATCATAAGAGAAAATACATTTACTGTACTATATTTATCAAAGAAGAATCTGCAAATAAGTGGACCTGTCCAGTAAGTGGACAGTTTAAACCCATGTTTTTCAAGGGTCAATTTTAATATCTGATTCACCTTTCTTCATCTTTTCATTGATATATTCACAAAAATCTAAAGGGTTGCAAAGTTAGAACAGTCCTGAAAACTACAAATATTAGTCACTCATCTGTCAAAGTTTTGGCCAACTAGAACAAATGATGAGAACTCAGAAGCAATGCTGTATTAAGAAGAATTACACAGATTTCCACAGAAGTCCACCTATATCTAAGACTAACAGGTGTCTCTGTTAATATTTTGTTCCTATCAGAGTGCTCCCTACTACATAATATGTACCTTATCAGAAAATTTCTTTCTCGTTAGCTGTTCTGATACTACATTCATTTGGGCATATAATTAATTCAGCATAACTTGGCCAGGACATTAGTAACTGGAGAGTGATACTTTGCAACTTATGAAACAAGAAAACAAAGTATGAAACAAGAAAACAAAGACTGAAGAAAACTATGGGAAAGATGCACAGAAACAAAAAGACCTACAAAAGGTATGAAAAAATGTAGACGTACAAATGAAGAAGTATGTTATAAATTTGCACCAGAAATAAACAATGAAAATATAAAACTACCACTGAAATATACTGCTGTGAAATTCAAAGTGAGAAAAAAATGTTATAAGTATACATGTGTTCCTTTAAAGGAACAAAAATCAAGATGGCCCTATTTTTCTCCACATTGTTAAATGTCTGAAAGTAACAGGATAATTACTAAAGAGTTCTAAGTGAAAAAGAGCTGTAGCACAAGGACTCTACATTCTATCATGTTTTTATTCACATTTAAAGCAGCAAAAACTCATTTCCAGATGTGTGAAATATGTAAACCACCTCCATAGCTATTTGGTGAAGGAATGAATTCACTCAAGTTATTTTTCTGCCAAAGACAGATGAATCAAAAGTAAAAAGAGACAAAAAACCTCCACTATGATGCTAAGTTCTGATTTTTAAACCTCTGAACATGTACAACAAATCTATAATGTTTTAAAACTGCAGAGACATGCAAAAAAAGCTTTTAGAACACAGTAACAAAATAAGTGAATAAAATATTAAGTAAAATTATGAAATAATTGGAAATCTATATATGAAAGGGTGACATTCATCTGACCCTCAGATTAAGAAACAGCTGATTCAAATGAAAAGTCAGGTTTGTGGGGGAAAAAAACTACCAACTTAAATGACTCAAAGTTTAGTTTAAAAGGAAGAAAACCTGACAAATTAATTGTAATTCATTCATCCACTGGTAACTACTATTTATAATATGTTCTTCAAGCACAGGAAACATCTTGGGGCAAAAACATAAACTAGTAAATGAATAAGACATTAAATTATAGTAAATGAATCTAAAAGGAAACAAAGAAACAGGAAAAGTAATTGTTATGCAACAGCTGAAAATTCTTCAATTAGGTACTGAGAAAATCAGTTAAGTCGGCTCTGAAGGGTAGATATTTGAGTTGAGAACTAAAAGATAAAAAACAGCTGAGACACATCAAGGAAAGGTGTCTATCAGAGAGTAGAAAGAACAGCCAACGCCAAGGCCCTAGTTCAGGAAAGAATTTGATCAAATTTCAGGAAAAGGAAGGAGTCCAATGTGGTTGATGTCACTGATGGATTTTTCAGTATAATTTAGACAGTAAGATCAGAATTAGAGTGAAAATACTTCAAATGGAAGAGTTTTAAAACTAATCCTTTATGATTAGACTGTTTATGTAATTTCTCTTTAAAAATTTTTTTTGAATGTTTATTTTTGTGAGAGAGACACACCATGAGTGGGGGAGGAGGAGGCAGAGGGGGTGGGGGAGAGGGGAGAAGGGGGGGAGAGAGAGAGAGAGAGAGAGAGAGAGAGAGAGAGAGAGAGAGAGTGTCCGAAGCAGGCTTCAGGCTCTGAACTGCCAGCACAGAGCCGGACTCAGAACTTGAACTCAAGTACAGTGAGATCATGCCCCCTGAGCCGAAGTAGGCATGACCTGAGCTGAAGTCATATGCTTAACCGACTGAGCCACCCAGGTACCCCTGTAATTTCCTTTTTAAATTATGGCATTTATACTAACACACTCACCCAAATGTATTTATATTTATGTAAGTTCCTCACATACAATGAATGGGTCAACCAAGCAATTAGAGAAGAAATTAAAAAATATATGGAAACAAACGAAAATGAAAATACAACAATCCAAACGCTTTGGGATGAGCGAAGGCAGTCCTGAGAGGAAAATACACTGCAATCCAGGCCTATCTCAAGAAACAAGAAAAATCCCAAATACAAAATCTAACAGCACACCTAAAGGAAATAGAAGCAGAACAGCAAAGGCAGCCTAAACCCAGCAGAAGAAGAGAAATAATAAAGATCAGAGCAGAAATAAACAATATAGAATCTAAAAAAACTGTAGAGCAGATCAACGAAACCAAGAGTTGGTTTTTTGAAAAAATAAACAAAATTGACAAACCTCTAGCCAGGCTTCTCAAAAAGAAAAGGGAGATGACTAAATAGATGAAATCATGAATGAAAATGGAATTATTACAACCAATCCCTCAGAGATACAAACAATTATCAGGGAATACTATGAAAAATTATATGGCAACAAATTGGACAACCTGGAAGAAATGGACAAATTCCTGAACACCCACACTCTTCCAAAACTCAATCAGGAGGAAATAGAAAGCTCAAACAGACCCATAACCAGCGAAGAAATTGAATCGGTTATCAAAAATCTCCCAACAAATAAGAGTCCAGGACCAGATGGCTTCCCAGGGGAGTTCTACCAGACGTTTAAAGCAGAGATAATACCTATCCTTCTCAAGCTATTCCAAGAAATAGAAAGGGAAGGAAAACTTCCAGACTCATTCTATGAAGCCAGTGTTACTTTGATTCCTAAACCAGACAGAGACCCAGTAAAAAAAGAGAACTACAGGCCAATATCCCTGATGAATATGGATGCAAAAATTCTCAATAAGATACTAGCAAATCGAATTCAACGGCATATAAAAAGAATTATTCACCATGATCAAGTGGGATTCATTCCTGGGATGCAGGGCTGGTTCAACATTCACAAATCAATCAACGTGATACATCACATTAACCAAAAAAAAGATAAGAACCATATGATCCTGTAAATCGATGCAGAAAAGGCCTTTGACAAAATCCAGCACCCTTTCTTAATAAAAACCCTTGAGAAAGTCGGGATAGAAGGAACATACTTAAACATCATAAAAGCCATTTATGAAAAGTCCATGGCTAATATCCTCAATGGGGAAAAACTGAGAGCTTTTTCCCTGAGATCAGGAACACGACAGGGATGTCCACTCTCACCGCTGTTGTTTAACATAGTGCTGGAAGTTCTAGCATCAGCAATCAGACAACAAAAGGAAATCAAAGGCATCCAAATTGGCAAAGATGAAGTCAAGCTTTCGCTTTTTGCAGATGACATGATATTAGACATGGAAAATCCGATAGACTCCACCAAAAGTCTGCTAGAACTGATACATGAATTCAGCAAAGTTGCAGGATACAAAATCAATGTACAGAAGTCAGTTGCATTCTTATACACTGACAATGAAGCAACAGAAAGACAAATAAAGAAACTGATCCCATTCACAATTGCACCAAGAAGCATAAAATACCTAGGAATAAATCTAACCAAAGATGTAAAGGATCTGTATGCTGAAAACTATAGAAAGCTTATGAAGGTAATTGAAGAAGATATAAAGAAATGGAAAGACATTCCCTGCTCATGGATTGGAAGAATAAATATTGTCAAAATGTCAATACTACCCAAAGCTATCTACACATTCAATGCCATCCCAATCAAAATTGCATCAGCATTCTTCTCGAAACTAGAACAAGCAATCCTAAAATTCATATGGAACCACAAAAGGCCCCAGATAGCCACAGTAATTTTGAAGAAGAAGACCAAAGCAGGAGGCATCACAATCCCAGACTTTAGCCTCTACTACAAAGCTGTCATCATCAAGACAGCATGCTATTGGCACAAAAACAGACACATAGACCAATGGAATAGAATAGAAACCCCAGAACTAGACCCACAAACGTATGGCCAACTCATCTTTGACAAAGCAGGAAAGAACATCCAATGGAAAAAAGACAGTCTCTTTAACAAATGGTGCTGGGAGAACTGGACAGCAACAGGCAGAAGGTTGAAACTAGACCACTTTCTCACATCATTCACAAAAATAAACTCAAAATGGATAAGGGACCTGAATGTGAGACAGGAAACCATCAAAACCTTAGAGGAGAAAGCAGGAAAAGACCTCTCTGACCTCAGCCGTAGCAATCTCTTACTCGACACATCCCCAAAGGCAAGGGAATTAAAAGCAAAAGTGAATTACTGGGACCTTATGAAGATAAAAAGCTTCTGCACAGCAAAGGAAACAACCAACAA